GGAATGCCGCAATCGGGGAGAAGTTCCGTTACATGCTTTCCCGGCCAACTTTTAGAAGCCGATCTGTCTTGGTCTGGAGTGTTTCAGAAGAATTTCTTCTATTGGCTCCGACCACAACTCGCTATATATGGGACATCCAATGAAGAGGAACCATCAGAACTTTCCTTAGGCACTCGATGTGCATTTGTGAATACTAAACATAAAATACTCTTCTACTAATCAACTCTTCATAAGCAATTAATTTGCGGTAGAACATTCTGTGGCTGCCTTTTTACAAACAGGGCAACTCGAAAAGGGCTGAATCACAGTAAATTATCGGTCCGATATTTATTGCCTATTTGATTTTTATTTCGTTTTATTTCGCTTTTAATAGCTCCGCTATTTTGTGGTTGCATAATAATATTTTACAGTTGCCCATTATTGAACATTAAAATTTTGCTGTCTGGGTCAATAAATCACCTTTCGCAAGCAGAAAACTCACGGTGACTGCCCACAAAAACAGCGAAATAGGTACATGGTTGTACCTATTTCGCTGTTTTTGTGGGCAGTCAACGTGGGTTAGATCCGTTTACCAGATTTCCACGTAGGTGGGGTTCAGTTGCTCGCGGGGCACTGCATTTTGCCCCATTGTGATAGATCGACTGTAGCTGAAAACTGTTGATTTAAAAGTAGGGTTGCTCTGGGAGCCGAGGAAACGACAACTTCCCATAAACAAATTATGCCACTATTTTCGGCTTGCTAACACTATGTTCAGTACCCGTTGCAAAAAATGTCAAATTTCAAACAAAAAACGCAAGTCTGCGCTTTTTGCTGTTATTTTTGTTGGTAGATTCAAGTAGGTTTATAGCAAAGTTTTCCAAGTTTCCATGTTGATTACACCGTTGGCTACCCAACTCTACAAGATTATATTGGATTGGTAGTGTGTGATAATTACTGAGGGGAGACGTCTTCTATGTACATACACAAGGACGGCTTTTTTTTGAGAACTTGGGTATTCTGGTTACTTACTGCTCTACAATATCAAATCTCACGAATTTGTTTTTAATGGATTGATAGTGTGTGATGATTCCCAAAGGTAGGAGCCTTCTGTGTAAATACACCGAGACAGATTTTTTTTTCTGAAACTTGGGTATTCTGGTTACTCCCCTGAGCCACAACATCAAATCTCATCAATTTTCGTTCGCTGGTTTGATAGTACGCGATGACTGTAAAGGTGGACGTCTTCTAGATGCACATCAAACTCCGTGGAAGCCTCGTTCTGAAAACTCGACTTTGAGCCACACTCTCATATTCGAAGGTTTTTCGTCCTAGTCCGTGTATATTACAGTAGGACCTGAATTCCTGATCCTGGTTTCCGAAGAAGTGATTAAGGATTCTGGACTACATTCAGCGTTAGGCAAGAGTTCCGACCCTACTTCATTACGCCTTAGCGCTTCGTCTGCTGTGTGCCCTAACATCAGTGCGTGACACACCCTTTTGAATTGAACACCCTTTGTTCTTTTATGAAATCGAATTTAATAACTGCAATCAGTACTGTTCGTTAGTCCAGGACAAATGGTATGTAATGATTTATAGGCGACCCCCTGGATGAGAATTTTTATTCTCTTTCCGATGGAGGCAGAAATAGTTCTTTTGAAAAATGAACTAGTCTGATGATGGAACGCAGAACGCGATTTCCATGAAAATATCATCATATGTTTAATAATTTTTATCAATATTCCACAGGCACCCAAGACCAATTTGGTCACTCCCTTTTCTGATTGTTCAAGAAACCGTTCTTCATTGGTGCCACAAACCAAGCAACCTCAGGGTCGAGAAGTAATTGATAAAAGATCACGTTGGATGGATACGTTCAAGGAGTGTCAGACATTTTCCATGAACTGTGTGTTAGCCCCCAAAAAATCTTCTTCGTAGGGATTCCGTGAGTCGCCACTGAATCTCTGGTAAGACGATAGAACAGACACACTATTCCGTTCTAGACCACTGAATGCTCCCTTCACAGCCGCTGGGTACTTTTAATTCCCATCAGAGCTTCATAAGAGCAGTTCATCTTTGGCGGTCCGGCGTCTGAACCCATGCTTGAAAGTCAATTTGCCGAATCAACATTAGATTCGATAAATGAACTCCACAGAAAATTACCGTAAGCACTTCCTCTACCTGCTCTTATTCCATTCCCTAGAGCCTTGAAGCTGATGATGAACGATAAAGAATCAAGGATGAAAACTCGAATTTAGAAGGTGGAGTAGTTCCAATGTTCATGAGATTCCTTACGATTTGCACGCTTTTGCAGCCCTTGATGTAAAACTGAATGGGTTCTGTCAAATCTTCTCAACACTTGACGGTAAACTCGTTTCATAGATTAGATTCTTCGTCTTTGATAGCCTTTTTGTTCAGATTCAGATCCTTGAGCAAGCAATACCAGCTTGAATGCTATCGGCTTTAACGACAATATTTAATTTGTTGTGTACGCTGAATTTATGCTTCTTGATCAACCGCGCAAAAAATATGCGTATCGCGCTACCTTCAATACTCGAAGTCTGGTCTTTTGATGAGATTAATGAGTGCTCCCCGCATTCGACTTCCATGCAAAATCATAGTGGCGTGGGGCCTACAATATGTTTCACAATGGCCAGCCAGTATACAAGTCAGTGATTATATTTCCCCAGATGTGTTTAGTGCCCATGGGACAGCTTGGTAGGATGTAATGCTTAGAAAAGAATCGGTCCGAGATTCTATTTCCGAACGAGATGGGCATGTTAGTGGNTCAAGGTTTAGGGTAGCCTCGATGGAATTTTATTCAACCCGTTACATACATACAGTAGAGCTCAAAAGCGTTAGGCCAAAGGCTTCATCGGCCGCAACTTTCTTCTCACCAGTCAGTAGAGCAAATCGAGAGAAATGTTGATATGTTTAACTGAAGCATATTTCACACTATATTTGACTGCAAGGCAGCAATATCCACGTAACTAAGGAAGAGGCGTTAGTTGCGAAAAAGAGCTTGAACTCAAAATCAACTGGAAAAACAGACAATGGTCCTGCCAGGGTTTTTTCCCTTTTCGCCATATTTGAAGCGGTCAGGCATCAGCGCTCTTAAACTTTAGTCATGGCAAAAAGGAAAGAAATCCCAGAAGGAACGAAGTCCGTATTTCTATTTGATTTTGAGTTCAAGCCTTATGAGATACCTGGAACATGGTAAAATTGCAGCTCAGTAGTGGTAAATATTCACATTACACCCATGCTACATACATCAAAATTTTGCATGATTAGATCCTGTGAGGAAGGAGTTACGACTGAAAAGTATAACTGAAGAAGCATTTAAACGTATACTTTCAAGCGCTACTGACTATGGGTTTCACAGTAACTGACGTCACAAAAAAATCTCCAAAAATTCCACCAACCTGTTGGCAGAAATTCGTTTCGTCATTGATGTTGCAGACTTTGGCTGGCTTTCCAAAATTGCTGTGCATATTTATCAAAGGTTCTTTTTGTCCCTGAAATAGATGAACTTCGCTGAAGACTGGGGAAGCTATCTTTTTTGAAGATTGTCATTTTTGGCGTTCTTTGCCTGCCGTACATTTTTTCTAATATGGGAAAAAGCAACCATCGACCCACTATCGACCGGTCGGATCTACTAACAGCCAGTTTCCTTTAGCACTTCTTATACTGTAGAGACGCTGTGATTTATCATGGGGCAGTGACCAAAACGCCTTTTGGGCGACAATTACAACGCCGATTTGAACACAAGAAATTCCTCCCCGCTACATAACCAAAGCGGTCAGCGATCTCGGAAAAAAAGTGAGCTAAGTTCGGAAAATTGCTATGGAGAGACGATTAGCTCGATGAATCCAGATTCTTCGTCAAATTGCGCAAAGCTAAGTGGGCATCTTTCTTGAGATGCTTCTAAAGCAATTCCTGGGATGGATACGATACCTACTTGTACAACGGAGTCATAAAATAGGAGGAGTACAAAGATTAATGGAGAAAAACGGATGTCCCAACGATGGAATAAGCTGATGAGTACACGAAGTGGTAGAGGAGGATTGTGGCCGAATGGGTTTCAGTTCTTTTCCAACACCATAATGGAGTCGTTCCATTTTTTTCGACTTTAGATGGCTCTATCTATTTCCTGAGAAGCTCTGTCACTCCCTGGAAAGAACGATTGAAATTATCCTCCTTTCGCGACTATCTATCATGTGCGGTTACGAGGTGGGCATCGCGTCGGAGAAGAAAACGATCCCATGAGCGATCTGGGAAGGGGTTGAGCGGGGAGTGGGGTCTGACAAGGTTGTAATACGACACCTCTCCGACCCAAGTTTTATAGAACAACTAGGTCCCCGTTGAAAAGCAGCCCCAGATGAGCACAATCTTGCAAAGTACATTTCATTTCCTATGGACTCTTTCGCAGTATGATCAACAGTTTTATGATTAGCTGATGGTGCATTACAAGGGTGTGGTTTTTTCGAAGAACACAGGCGTCTACGGTAACGCTGTGGTGGAGTTCCCATAGAGTCTCACCCAAATGGTACTAATGTCAAAGGAGGTCAGGCTGGATAAGAGTCTGTTCTTTTTGTTGATAACATTATTACTATACTGCCTACGAAGTTCCCCTATCGATTTCATGGGAAGTTGCCTTCTAAGGAGAGACCATATTTACACCTTACACGGGTAGTCACTCCTTAGAAGGCGACTCCAAATGAAATCGATCGGGGACTTTCGTAGGCACTATAGAAATAATGTTAACAACAAGTTGTATCTTGGTTGAGATGTATGCTTACGATTGTTTCGTTACTTGATCGGTATGATGCAACCCCATACCCGTCTCTATCATCACTTGGGTTTCCCACACGTACTTGATCTTCCTCTTTCGGGATGCTTTACACCAAAACAAAACCGGGTGAACCATACACGGGGCACGAGAAGAGCATCGTATCAAAGAACGGGCGCCGATTGCCCGTAGCGAAAACTACCCGGATCGAGTAAACGATCGACCTGACCGCGTATGGTGAAAGCTACCCGGATCGAGTAAATGATGCGAAGACTTCTAATGGCGAAAGCTACCCGGCTGAAGTAAACAACTCATCAACCTCAAACGCCATTACAGATGAAGAGGTGTTGAAGTGAGGAGTTCCAACGAAAACATCTTTGGATCTCCCACTTCTTGACAATCAGCCTGAATTTTTACCAACATCCCAAGCCCACCTAATTGGTACCGCATACTCGCAAGGTTTAAACTTCCCAGTTCAACTATATCGTTACTCTCCCGGACGTAATGTTGCCGTTAACAAAATTGCTTTCACTCGAGAACTCCCAGCAATGCTGATAGTTAAATAAAAACTTCACGGAATGCACTTGCTCTAACTGCAACTACTCTATTCCTGGGAGTTAAATGGTTTTTCAAAGGAAGGGGGATGGGTAGTGATCCAATTAGCAGTTATGAGAATGGCAACGGTTCCGTCTTAGCATCACTCGACTTACTCCAAGGCATCATCTTCCCAATGCTGCCACTCCCTTAGCACAGCGACAGGGTTGCGCCATGTATTTACATCTCGCCGTATGGGAATCGCCATGCATCTCACACTTAGCAGTGGCGTTTTTGCATGATGCAATGCGAACATAGGACGAATACATTACATATAACGAGGCCACCTGTGAATTTACCGACAAAGAATGTTTTTGTAAGAGTCCATCAAAGTACATCAACAGCAGGCGATCACATTTAATTGCCTAGAATCAATCCAGTTCTCGAGAGCACTCCGAAAATTGCCACTCCCAGGTACCATAAACTAAATTTACTAGAATCATTTACTTTTTTGAGAAACCCTGAGTCAGATTCAAGAGTTTCAGTTCAGATCACAAAGATGCTCCATCATCTGGCTCTTCTGTGCTCTGCCCTACTGGCTGGCAGTTTTAAAGCTACTCGTGGCTGTGCTTAGTTACAGATTCGTGCTGTCTTCAATTTCACAGAGCATCCACAAGAAAAAAGGTAGGGGGATAATAATAAATATAAGGAGTACAGGTAACTTGGAGGAGTAGTGCTGTGGAACTTCGTGGCGATGTTTTTTCAGTGGTGCAGGAGAAATAACTGCATTCCTAAGCTTTGGCTAAATTGCCTTAGGACTATTTTACTAGTTCAACAAGCAGTTAGGCAAAAGTATCAAAGTTTTGGGAGATCGTTATGAAACCTTTAAGTCCCATGAGGTTTTAGTCCCATGAGCGTGGAGTGAATGGTCGTGAAGAATTATTCTGGAAAACTTATGAGCTGCTCCTCACAGATAATCCTGGAAGCAATCGACTGTACTCTTGTTCAGGTATATATTCTCAATATGAACGAAGATGACTACTGTTATTCAAGGCTTTCAGTTCAGATCCAAAGATGCTCCATCATCTGTTCCTTCTGCGCTCTGCCCTACCGGCTGTCATGTTCAAAGCTATAGTAGGGGCTCCACTCAGTTAAAAGAATAACAGTAATTAGAAAGGTGACTATGTTCCTACTGGAGGGGTATCATTTCGAAGGTACAAACATAAACATTTCTGTTCCCGTTGATTTCATTTTTGACGTCCCCGCAGAAGGGGTTTATGTATTATCTGACCATCTAATCGCTGGAACGTTTTGGACGTACTTGATGTTTGAATGGATGACTGGCCGCCAAGGTGACTTCTAGAGTACCAGTTTCAAAAAGAGTGAACACCATACTTTCTTTCAAGGCTGGGAACATGACACTAACAGGAAATGGACGAAATTATCTTTATTATGTTGCTGAAGACAGTTCCCGTGCACTCTCCGATTCGATCCTCTGAATGCACGGAAGGCGTGCACGGAATTTCAAAGTCATGACCTGGTCCTGATTTGAGCTAATCGTCATCGGAATTGAACGACTTTTTGGGGTAATGGGGTAGGGGAAGGACGGAAACCTTCCGCTGACTCTTCTCCCCTCCCCCATTTCAAGGTGTAAATAATGTACTTGCCCCATAAGGAGTTTCTATCACCTTTTCTATAACATTCTTTTCTTTATTTGCGATGCATATCAGGTAGGTGTCACGGCCCAAAGGCCTTCAACAAGTGAGGCAACTGAATGTTCGAAGAAAAATGAAATGAACTAAATGTAAAGGAATGGTATGGAACCCTTGCGGCAGTCATACCCGAGTTATGAAGAGTTTTGTTTGCCCCTATTACAGCTATAAAACGCGCTAGGAGCTGTTAAGGGTGCATTTATAGTTTGAATAGAAATCAATATTGCTCTCTTTCTTACCCATAAAATTCAAGAATTAAAAGTGAAGTATTGGACCAATTAGGCAACTTACTTCGATCAAGAAAGCACAGGATGATCCACACAAAAGCAGACATAACAGAATCCTCATCGCTTCCGATTACTTTCTGGAACGTCTTATATTCTTTACATAGTTATAGCCTAGTAAAATGCAGAAAAAGGAAGGTTGGAATTCGAAAAAGTCGGTTCCGGAAAGCTGCTCTGACAAAATTCCATGGCAAAGACTTTTCGCAGCGAAAAAAGATTGTTAGTCCAAGCACGGCGGTACATAGCGCTATCGTTATGACTGACAAAGAAGAAACGAAAGAACGTAGAGAGAACCAAATTTACTTATTATACTGTTCCTCTGAAAAGCTTAGGTAAACCAATAGAGTGACTTCACAAAATGCTTCCGTAAAGGCTTTGAAATTGGATCGTATTGTGATGCAGAATGAGTCATTCAATAGCGACTTAACGACTTCATTCCAAACTCCAAGCTGGGTCGCGCTGACCGATTTCTACGAGGGAAAAAACTAGGCTGTTTTGGAACGGCGCTGGTTGAGGGCGGTGGCATGCAGAGTAGTTTCAGTGGGTGTGGGGCCAATCTAGGGGGTAGGTACATCGATGTCGAGGTGACGAGTGGTGTTGACGGGGGACGGCAAACGGGAAAAGAGGATGCATGGGAACCGGTTAGATGCTCGTGGCTGTTACAAATACACAGTTCGATGCGAATCCCGAAGAAGGAAAAGCATCAACCGGTCGCTTCGTTCCATTTATATGAGCTGCTTTTCGTGTTTATTACTGGGATCAAAACTAAAACGAAGGTGGTGAAGTCTAGTTTACACTG